TGAAATTCAAAATAATTAACGTATCAATTTTTTTTCTGCAATTAAAACACGTCTTCAAGCAACACTAATTGTGCGAATATAGGAAATTCTTGATTAGCGTATATTGTAAGTGTTGTCATAAACTGAAATGGAACTCTAATGATTGATTTTATGCTACTATTATTTAAAAAATCCTTAATTTGAATCTTAATTATCAATTTTTCTTTCACATTAACAGGAAATATAATAGCACACGTGTCTTTATCTAAAAAAAGCAGATCTGAAAAATTCAGATCTGAACAAGCAGATCTTTACAAATTCCCCAGCACTTTTCGCCGACGGTCTACACCTAAAAGTTTTATTGTCAATGTCATTAGTTGGAAATTTAAGTTTTGTAAATTTGTAAATTTTTTAATTTGGTACCCCAAGAAGTCCTTACGGTCTTATCACAGAGCACCGCGGATGAGCATTTAATAGGAAAGAAGTAGGGTTTGAACCACCGATTTTTTGTTACTGAGGCAAGTGCACTACCACTGTGCCACGGCTTCAATTGCCCTTGACTATGTTATACTTTGGAAACGCCTTTGTATAAGGTGGATTTTTCCATCTATCATTTTTGTTTTACGGCTTAAATGACTCCACGCATATCTAAAACAACTATCTGCCAACAACCCTGTACCGATAGACAATTTAGCGACGATGTCATTACCCTCTAAAAAATTATACATTTTGATGTCAATTTTTTCTAATTTTTAACTATTGACCAGTCTTTTTGTGTACTATAGCTATTGCAAATAAAGCTATTTTTAAGTCAAAACAATTCTTAGCCACACTTTTCAACTTGATTGCACTTAAAAGTACCCAAGTCAAAGTTACTACCGTCGCTTGCTGGCACATTATCTTTAATCATTTTTTCATTACACTCTACATAACTACCGCTATTTCTCTTATTACGATAAAAAAACTGCGCATTTAAATAGAAAGAATCATTCACTAGTTAAACTACTCCGCGGTAATGATTGGCGTAAGCTTGCTTATGATGACCAAATTAATAAGAAAATAAATTAAGCTATCAGTTGGAAAATTATAAAAAATTAATCATCAACTTACATATGACTGGTTTGTATTTTCAGTCAGTCTGAAGTATTTGCAATCACATTTTCAACCTATAGTAAATACAAGACATAATATTGTATGCTAAGCTTTTGTTTACAACATTTCTACTTAGTTTAAAACATTGTTAAAGATTTTACGCGGGAGAGAAAAAATATATATATATTTTAAAATTTTATACTTAAATGAATATCTATTTTCAAAAAGTAAATATAAGTAAATGTAAAGTTATGATAATAACAAAACACTAATAAATTATTTACTTTAATATGAGAGAAACCTTAAAAAAAAATTATATAATAAAAAAAAAAAATATGTAAGATTATAATTATTGAAATCAAAGATCATAGCTAGCATAAATAAATAAACTTTATTTCAAGTAGCCGTAAGCCGGTTTGTTAGAAGTCTGAGAAGATAAAAATAAAAACATGAAAAAACACTTTATTGGAGTTTTTTAAAACAGCGAAAGTAAATTTCCGATCTGGTTTATTTTGAACAAAAGTTAAAGTTAATAAAGTTTTATTATTCAACTTAATCGTACAATAAAAAAGCTGCGTTTGCTGAAATAGATGAAAAAAGTACTTTACACCGTCTTCATTTCAGAATATTCTTGGTTACAACAGCTACAGTTTTGTAAATTTATAAGGACCTTCCTCAACAACGGAACTCTTTCCAAATGGAGTTGACAGTCCCGTAAAGTTCGTTTGTTATTGGGGAGATGAGTTAACAACGAATAGCTTTATGGACTTTGCATGTAGCTACTTTTATTGCACAGATCAATCTATTCAAAATGACCAGCCTGGAAAAGAATTGATTAATGGATTTGTGGACCAATCAAAATTAAAGTTGTATAAATAAAATAGTTTGGTAAAAAAAAAAAAAAACACTTCAAAAACATCAGCTTTTAAACTGTTAAGCAATTTTCAATTCTAGTAAATTCTAGTAAAACATAATACAACTATTGAATAGTTAAAAAGAAGTTTAAAAGTTTTAAAATAATTACAAAGACACAAAAATGCAAGAAATAAGATTTAGAAAAATTTTCACCATTGTCAGAACAGGTGTATAAGGTTGGAACTTCCCCTACTGTAAACTATTTAACTTGCGCAATTTGTAATACACTTAATGTTCATATGCCAAACATACAAAACGTTGTAATTATAGTTTTAATATTATTTTACAAATTTAATAAAAGTCTTTTTTTGTTTTTTGGTTTAATTAGCTAAAAAATGCCGAAAATGGATAATTTAAAAATAATGCGTTCTTTCCTATTAGAGCATAACAGGTATGGAGTGTAGTATAGTATGGAAAATAGTCATAGCTTCTTAGTCCCACCAAAATAAAGGATCAGAAAGAACTGTTAAACCCAAACAAAATAAGAAAAACAAAAATTAGAAAGAGAGTAAGAATAAAAAAAAATTAAAAAGATATTTTGAACAGAAATTAGGAATAAATTAAAGACATAACAGCTACAAGTGTAAGATAAGAAATATAAGGTCGTAGTTTAAAATATCTTACCCATACTTTAATAAAAGTAATAATATAAGGTCATGCTTTAAAGTATCTTTTCTCTTGAGTGACTACTCATTTCTGAGGAGTTGGAAACGTTCAATAAGGAGCTTATTTTTTTCGTAGAATATAGCTTACAATTGAATCTCTTAATTTATGCTAAATAAGTTTATACCTCACAATTTATTTAAGTTTATACCTCACAATTTATTATCAAAATTATATAACATTTATGTTACATAATTTTGATAAATTCATCACACATTGTATTAGAAAGATAAGGTGTAACATCTTATCTTTAACTGCAAACTTTGTATATGGCTTGCAAAAAAGAAGTACAATTTTTCTATAAGTTTACGTAATCCAGGGATATTGCAAGGTTAAATAAAAATATTTTTATTTCCACTAAAAGATAAACCACGCTCATACAAAGTAGTTATGACTACTGCAATTTGTTAAAGAAAATTTTTTTAGTTCTCTTGTTTATTATTTATTTGGTCAGCTATTAAACAGTCAATTGTTAAGGTGCATTTTCTCGTAAGATTAATTAAGTTATTTTATAGACAACAAAGTTTTGGCAATTTGTTCTTTAAAAAGACAAATTTTTTATAATAACTGAAGAATATAGAAAATCGGGAAAACAATCCTGTAGTATATTCAAGTGTACAAAATTACTCATTTGGAAAGTATTTTTGGGGTAAAGAAGGCCAATAATGTGAAAACCATTCCCCAGTGAGTCTAAGAGGGTCCAATTTGCTGACTAAGGGTCCAATTTGCCTACTAAGGGTCCAGCTTGCCGACTAAAAATCATTGATGGGTGGGCGTCACACCCCCCACACATCCCAATCGCTCCGGCCTTATATATATATATAAATATATATATATATATATATATATATATATATATATATATATATATATATATATATATATATATATATATATATATATATATTTATATAAAAATACAATATATGTGTTATCACAGAGCACCGCGGGTGATCATTTAGTTGGAAATTCATGTTTCCTTCCTAACCGATGTTGCAAAACCTGTCCAGAATTGAGATTTGAACCACGGATTTATATATATATATACATATATATACATATATATATATATATATATATATATATATATATATATATATATATATATATATATATATATATATATATATATATATATATATATATATATATATATATATATATATATATATATATATATATATATATATATATATATATATATATATATATATATATATATATATATATATATATATATATATATATATATATAGGTTAATTCAGTGCGACGTCAGAGTGCTCATCTATTTAAGTTATATATGAACACAAAATATAACGCTGTTTTGCATAAAAAAAATTACTAAAAAATCTTTTATACAGGTTTATGTATTACAAAAGTTATATTCCATATACCTATATAAAATATATAAAATATTTATTTTTAAGTTGAGTCAACTTTGATGATTACAATAATGGTTTGGTATTACTAACTTGGTAATCTTTTAAATCATCTTATAATAAAACATAATTTTATATAATAAAAAATATATACAAAGAAAACAATTAAATATAAGACAATACTTATTAACTATCATCAGCGGATATTTTTTTCATTTTTAATAAAAATTTCTAATTATGAAAAAAAAATTTGTTTCCTTTTTGTTACTTTTTTACATACTTTGTAACAAAGCTAATAAGAGAATCTAACGGTTAAACATTTTGTAATAAATGATGTTTTATTGACACTTGGTTCTTAAAATAAAAAATCAAAAAGTGTTAGTTATTCAAATGCATGTTTATTAATTAGGTTATCAACCGGATATCGATTCACTGCTATATAGACGTCATACTGAGTGACTCATAACCTGACTAAAAGAATCAAATTTGACTCATTAAGGACATACTAAGTATAAACAACATTAAAAAAAGTTCAGCTGCTTCAACTGTCTGTGTTCAAGTGCCTTAAAACAAAACTAATAAATCACAAAAAATTTTAAGAAGTTTTTTGAAAATTGTTTCGCCTTAAAAATTAATCTTATTAAATTTTTAGATTTAGGAACTTGTATAGATTTTTTGTTTTACAATTTTCTACAAAATGCTTATATATATATATATATATATATATATATATATATATATATATATATATATATATATATATATATATATATATATATATATATATATATATATATAACACGTAATTCGATATAAAGTGTTATTGACGAAATAGATAAGTTAAAATAGTAATAATTATAACGAAATATGACGAAATAGATAAGTTAAAATAGTAATAATATTAATCATATTTCGCAAAAGCTTTTTCTATGGCCACACTATGTATTCCCGTATAAACCACAGAAGTTCTTGTATTGAATCAAAGTTGTAAAAGTGTGTCTATTGAATTAATTTATTTACATTCCGTTTTTAAACAAAAAAAATCGTCACAAGTAACGTTTGAGAATTGTGTTTATTAAAAAAACGCGTGGGTTTTTTTTTCAAACCATATTGTTTCCAAAATTTATTAAGTGATTAGTGAAGCAAGTTTTTATTTTTACGAAACAAATGTCACTGCTAACAACCCCAGTAAGAATTTCGTTTAATATGATTTATTATATTATCTTTACGTTTTGTATGTTATACATTAAGTGAAAAAAACCTAAATTTTTCAAATACTTTAATTGGATGGAAATATTTTTTCACTTGTTCCTGCATATTTTCTTGAAACTGTCACTATATATATTTGCTTTTTATGGTTTTTACATTTTTAGGTTTTGGAACAAAATCGTTTTGTAGATCATGTCGATTACTTTTCTCAATATACTGATGAGGATAGCTCCACATCTTTTGAAAAAAACGATTCATTTACAATAGATTCTGTTGATAAATATTTAGTAAAAGAGATACAAATAAAGTATAACAAATCATCTACTTCCGGAAAAAAAAACGATAATACATTAACTGTAAGTTTTAGGATATATTGAAAATTTTACTAAGTAAAAACTGACTCTTTAAAGAAACTGTTAAACAAAAAAAAGATACATCTTTCTTGTTTATTTATAGTATTGTATATAAAATGAATAATATAGTTTAAGATTTTATATAAATCATTATATTAACTTTGACTTGATCTTTTCATTTAATTTTTATAATCTCTGTTCTAGTATTGAAAAAATTATAAATTTATTCGCCATTTTAGATGCGTAATTGAGTAAATCTAATAATTAAGTTTTCTATAACTCTCTAAATTTTCTATAAAAAATTTGCGGACTTTTCTACAACAAACTTGTAGGCTTTTTAACAACATGCTTGCAGAACCTTTAAATGCAGAGTTTTCTATAACATTTTCTATAACAACAAGATTTTTTTATAAGGTCATACCGATTTTTGATTTACTCCACAAAGATTTTTAAAAGTTTGTAGCTTTCATCCAATTTAATAACCAATCGTAATGTTTGAGTACTTTTATTACTATATTTTATTTTTAGTATGAAAACTCACAAAGTATTAATTTGAACGAAAAAAGGAATCGCAACAGACTTGCTGCCCAACGATGCAGACAGAAACAAAAAGAAAGAATACAGTATTTAGAAAAGGTTTGTTTAATATATCTTTCTATCACAGCAAACATGTTTTTTTGCCAAAACACCGTTTTTCTGCCGTCAGCAAAATATGTTGTGATAAATGTTACTGGCACCGCTACATTATGTTAATTTACAGATTTCTTAATAAGTAAATATTGGTCTCTTACTAGTTCACTGGCTCTATAATGCGCGCCTAGCTTAAAAAGCGTAAAGTTTTCTTATGATTATGGTGGTATAACAAAAATTTAAGTTAAAAAAAATAATTTTTCAAAAAATTCATTGTTTAATCATCTGCACAGAGTTGTTAACAAGGCCAAAAGTAGCAAGGCCATGTCCAACGCTGAGGCCAAAGCCAAAAGTTTCAAGGACAAGTCAAGGCCAAGGCCGAGATTTTCAAGACCAAGGCCAAGAATAAGTTCTTCAAGACAAACATATTTAAGACTGCAGACTTAAATTTGGGCATTACGTTAAGGCTAATAATAACCAAAAGTGTTGATAGCAAGTGCTGTGACAATAAAACCACATCTTGTGAAATTTGATCAAGGTTATCGACAGAATTCAATGAAGTCAATAAGAAAATATACTTGTAGATATATATGAAAGCCGAAAACAAAAATACATAAAAATAAAGCATTAAAACATTTAATTCTTTAACTTTATGTGTTTTCGTACTTAATGCTAACAACTAATAATCTTTTAATTAAATATATTATATTTTATAATATTAACATCTTTTAATTAAAGATATGTTGTTATTAGTTATTAGATAATAAACTTTAAAAATTCTGTTTTTAATCTTAAGAATGAAAGTTTTAAGAATATCCTTTTATAAATTTTGAAATGTTTTAACTAATAAAAAACGTTAAGATATATCATGTGACTTAATTATTAGGTGTAAAATTCTTATTAACCAATCATGTCATTGATTATTGCTTTAAAATGGCTAGTCTAAAATGGGAATTTAAACTGTGACATAAAGCGCAAAATTAAGTTCTTAATTTTCCAAGTGAACAAAAAAAACTCTTGTAAACAAAATCAACTGAAGTAAAATTTTTAAAATGCAAACACGAAAGAAAGTTATGAGTTCCTAAAGAAAAGGTGGAAGGCCAAAGCCAAGGACAAACAACTCCTCATCCGCATAACTTTTTGGTTCGTTTAAGAAAAAATTGTTAATGTTACTAAAATTATGGAAGGACTCAACAGAAAAAGTGATAACAATAAAAAAAAAAAAAAAAGAAACAAAAAAAATGTATCTTCTGTTAAAAATGGACAGAAACTGTCTCCTCAAAAAAATACAATAAATACAATCAATAAAAAAATTCAATACAATAATAAAATAATGTCAGAAAATAATTTAAAAAAGATAATATTGACGCTGAAATGTTGAAATTATTATTGCCTAGTAAAGGTCAACCTGTAAGGATAAACCTGGTAAAGGCAAATCTGTTGTCAATATCTATTAAAAATTATTTTGTATATAGTTTTCACTTTTGGAAACAATAAAACACAAAGCCTAATAAGTTTTTAAAGCATTTGTTTTGAAAAAACGTCCTAAAGATATACTTGTTAAAAAAATCTATAACGGTATCCATCTATTGCTTTAGTGCATTTATTTACAACCTCTATTAATCTTTGCTAATGATTTTGTGCATTTAAACTAGACAAAAACTTCTAAAAATGGCCAAGATGCATATGTTACCACTGGGCACGAAAACGTTAAAAAGGTGTCTTTTAAGCTTCTTTCGAACGTTTTGGACGTTTGGTCCCGAACCCACTGGGTTATGATTCTTTTGGGTTATTAATAGTTAACATTTCGGCCACTTAATAAATTTTATTTCTTTCTTTGAAAAATATGCATATCAATAGCTCTCTAAACGAGATGAACTCTTTGGCCGGCGCGGAGGAAGAAGATGTAGCTCACATACTCACAAATACCCTTCCCCCTTCCCTCCCGCATCAATGAAATTTTTGTTCATTTAGTTGGCAAGCTTGACCTTTTTAGACAAATCAGTCGGCAAATGTAGACCCTTTAGCAAAATCAGTCGGCGAATTTAGACAGTAGACCGGCTAATGTAGACCAGTCAGTCGGCAAATTTCTAAAATCGAGGACATTTTTTTAGTAGTCAGAAAAAAATTCAGATGATACCCCCTCCCCACGTGACACCTTTTTGCGCCGGCCCTGTGTGTTCTTGGCAGTGAAACTAATTCTAACGATTTACATCGTACATACTTAATTCAATACTCTGAAGTGCTTAATACACGGAAAGAGACGAATATTAATTTTTGGAAAGTTTTCTCACCCATTCCAAGCTTAATAAGAACCCCTGTTTATTAATTTTTACTTGTTACCAACCAAAAAACAACATCTCAAACTTATAAAAAATTCAGTAAATGTATATAAGTCACTGGTAAGAATAAAAACTATCATTGTAATCAAAATTCAAAACCCGTCGACCTTTAAAAAATCTTCTATCTTTACGTAAATCACAGTTTGTCAAAGATTAAATTTTTGTTCATTTCTCTTTATAGCATAAAACTTATATATGAATACAAAATCCTATTGAAATTATGATGAAGTAGCCGTTAAAAAAAAAGTGCATTTAACCTCAAATCAAGCTAAATTTAAATTGCTTTACCCGTGTTCTGTAACAAATTTCCACTCGCCTTTTAATAAGACTTATCAATCTTGCCCCTGCTTATTTGATCGGGACTAAACTTAATACCCCCTTCCTCCTTTTTTCTTCAACTCTCCCTTGTATTAAGCACTCAAGAGTAAACAACAGTATTTTAAGTTTTTTGATTTATAAAGTTTTTTGTTTTAAAATATTTTTCAAATATATTCTTAAATTGTAATCTCTCCCAAACCAATACTCTTAAGTTGTGCATTTTTAACAATCTTTAAAATATAACGGGGGAAAAGATTAGGGCACCACAATTTTCAAGTTTTGTTAATGGCTAACTAATGTATCTTTAATACTTTGAGACTAACACTTTTTGCTTTAACTTAACCAAATTTTTTTAGATGTCAGAGGTCTGATAAGTAAACAAAGTAGTTTACATATTTTTCTTTTAATCCAATTTGAGACCATAATATGAGAACATAAAGATATAGTGGTTTCTTTTATTAGTTTTCAAAAACTTTTTTAGAGCTTAACAGGTTTTTCTAAAGTTCTCCGTTAATAAAATTAACGGTGGTTTTTGAAACTAGCCTTACCTATAAAGTGCATCAAAAAAAGTTGAATAGTCTAAAACCATCAAAAATTCTAGAGAATTGCCTACTGAACCATTAAGTCTCTAAACAACAATTTTGACACACATTTTGTAACTGCGAAAGTCAGTATGGCAGTTGTCAAGTTTATTTCCTAATAAAAATTTTTGTTTTGTTTTGTTTTACTGCATATTTCAATGTGGTCTCATTAAATATATCACATATAAACTATTAACTTATAAATATAAACTAACTAGTTATCAACTATTAAATATAAACTATCAACATTTCAATGCTATGCAAACTGTTTTCAGCTAACTCCAACATATTGAAAAGGATCAAGGATGATCATTTACATGAAGATAAAACTACCGAACACCTCTTTTACTATCTATTAAAAAACTGCGATTTTTCATGGCAAAATTTGAAATTAAGTAAATATTTAATTATGTAAATATTTTTTTTGTGCTGAAATTTTAACGCTTATGTAACCAACCAAATAATTACCATTAGCCTTTCAGTCCGGCAGCCGTAAAAATGTGCTTCTACTGCTATACTATGCTGTAATATTATATAAAAATTTTCTAAAAGATTCTGTAATACTACCACATTAGAAAATAGTCTTGATAAGCATAAATCGCGTAATGAAAATATATCTAGCATATAACTAGCATATATCTAGCATATATCTACCATATATATATATATATATATATATATATATATATATATATATATATATATATATATATATATATATATATATATATATATATATATATATATATATATATATATATATATATATATATATTATATATAGGGGAAAGCGGGGCAACATGGCGAATGGGGCAAGATGGTTTTTCATATAACAACTCAACAAAAAATCTTTAAATTGGGTAAAAACAAAAATGTATTTGCATTTTGTATTTTAAAACACCAATTGGTTTTTTGAAATATTATTAACGCAATTTTATACGCATAAGTTTACTTTTTGCGCCTAAAAAAAAATTCCTCACTTTCGGTTTCGCATAGCGGATACTGTCCTTCAAGTTTAACTTCTTTAGAAGTAGTTTTTAGTGATTTGTGTTTATTTTTTGTTACTTTAGTTAGACTTATTGGTAGTTTTTAAAATTTTATAAAATTGGAGGTAAAAATTGAATAATAAGTCATCTTGCCCCGGTCACGTGACCAGGTTTACAAATTTGTGAACTTTTTATTTTAATATTTATTTTAAATTGTTATATTTGCAAACGGAAAATTCATGCAGGCAATAAAACATTTTAACAACATAAACATACTCAGAAAGTATTATTGCCTCACGACTGATAGTTTTGCACTAACTCAGGGCTTTCAAAACGTTCGCCATGCTGCCCCGCTTTCTTCTATATGTTCTTATTCATATTCATCTCCTTCTTATGTTCCTGCTAAACAAAAGTACTTTTTAAACTCTTTTTTTTGTTTTTTAAAGATTTACTTAGTATTTTAGTGTCTCTTGTATCATTGGTGTATGCTATTTATCATTTTTTTTGTTTTATTTATGCTGATCATCAGCTCAATGACAAGTGATTCTTTTAGCAACTTTAACATTGCGCTTAGCCTTTGTAGTCTGGTTGCTACATGTAAAAAAAAAAGGGAAAACTAAACATTCTGAGTGGACATTCTGATTTTTACATAGACTTGTTTCTTATAACTTAAGAAATTTAAAAATTTTTACGTGCCACTTGGAAAGTGCTTATAACTTAAGTTAGAGACAAAAATTGATGCAGTTTATTGAAAAAATTTCAAGCATGACATATCCGCC